GGAGCAGCTCTATTTATATTATGCCTATTAAGATTTTGGTTACTCATGATTAGGAAGAAGGAGGAGAAAAAAAAAATAACAGAGTAAGGGAAGTAGATTAGAGAGAAGAAGAATAGTGATGAGGTAGAGAACGGAGTGGTTTCATTTATAGCAGCCACCTTGTCAAGGAGGCGTTTTAATTTTGTCTTGGAGGAGGTGTCCATTCCATGCAGATTAGCGTTGGATACACCAAAAGCAGCTACCGTAACTCAAATCTTGCTCCGTAAGACGAAATGGCAACAAAGACAGATTCTGTTAATTTCATAACGCCCGTTAGAGGACAATAGAATAAAAAAGGAGGGTTGAGGGTTAACGGAGCTTAGAACAGAGAATAAGAATTAAGACACTGTTAGTTAGTAAATGATTGCATATCTAAAAGCTATTGGTCTTTAAAGGGGGCACCAATACAGCAAGCCACGTGGCAGCCAGAGAGAATCCTAGCTAGAAAGGAGGAGCCATAGGTACTACTCACCGCTAATTTGAAAGGATGAGCTTAATGTCACGTGCCGACTACTTTGCCCTAGTCACGCACCGTGCGCCACCCGCTTACAGTCCGTCGTAAGACGAGTCAGGCTTTCTCCTTGGCACTTACTCCTTGTGCCCACGTAGCACAACTCCTTGTGCTGCTAGTATAAGTTTGCTAGCACGATCCCTTTGTGCTAACAAGTCCCCTTTGGTTGAACTAAGCACTCACCCTTAGTGCCTTAGTCCGAATTTACGACTAAGTGTCGTAGACAATTGAGCACCCAAGCTATCACCCTTGCTGGTATGCCCGATCACTCACTTGGCACCCTCGTGCCTTAGTTTTCCTCACACTCTCTAAGTGTTGGAAGGAAAGGATTGAGTTGCAAGAGAACACAAGTGCTTAACAAAGGCTTTTTGTATTGCTCTCAACTTATAGCTCTTAACTTGTTGATCTCCCAACTTAAATGTACAAATGATGCCTTGGAGCCTATTTATAGTGCTCCACCCTACTTACTCTCTTTCTCTAGAACGTTCCTAACCTCCTCAAATGGAGGGTTCTAGACTACAACAATCTAGAGTGTTCCCACCTCCTTAGGAACTACATACATGGAGGTTTCTACAAGCTTCCTACCTAGAATGCTAAGGACTAACCTAGAACATTCTAGAACTTTACATTCAAAATGTACATACATAGAAGGCCCTAGAGACTTCTAAGATGCACTGGATGAACCTCGAATATTCTAGAGACATCCTCTCTAGAATACTCCTCAAAAGAACTCCGTAGATAGCTCCGGAACCTTCTAGAAGCTTCCCACGTTTCCCGGGCTACCTGCTGCACAAACTTGTATTTCGGGACCTTGTCTCAGAAAACTGACACCACCATCGTCTTCCTTGGCCCAAAATACGGTGGACCCCCAAATTTGGGCCCATTTGGACTTCATTTGGGTCTCCAAACGACAAATTATTGTGTTACTGTCAAGTGGGTGTTCACTAGGATTTTAAGCAAGGTGCAATATAAAGCTCTTTAGGGGGAAGTGCTTACCTGAGCAACAAGGCAAGCCCCCTAGCCCCGATTGTTGCCTTGCTGCCTAGTGACCTTTTTGACGCCCATTCTTGGTGTGGGAGATGACCCGTGACATTAAGCTAGGTAAAACAAAAAGGAATGAGACTAATTGGGTGTCTGCCACCACCAAAAGTCACTTTTTTGGAGGAACTCTATTTCTAGAGTGAGAAACTCTATTTCTAGAGTGAGAAACTTTGGGGCTTTTCTTGGAAATTAGGAGTTTTTATTATGACACAAATTTCCAACCACTAAATCAAATCTTGCTTGGTAATAAGATTATTGCGTAATAGCATTTTTTAAGCTACTAATTAGGGTGCGGTGATTGGCCATGAAGCCCATGGCTTAGTGTATCTTAAAAAGTTTGAGATAAATAGTGTTTGGATAATTATACATGTTAAAATGTTTATTTAGGGCTTGTTTGGTATCATTTTTGGTTTCAGTTTCCTAATTTTTTTAAAATTAAAAACCAAAAGCAGGAAACAAGAAAAGGTATTTTTACTTTTTTGTTGTCGGTTTTCAAAATTATCATGATTTTAATAAGCTTATATAATTTTTGATTCATTATGGGACATATATCGATCATATATTTTTAAAAAAACAACAAACCAAAAAACAGAAAACCACAACAATGCAAAATGAACCCTTATTTATTTATTCATTAATATTAACTGTCTTTTTTTTTTAACTCATAAATAGGGTGCGAACGTTTATGCTTTTCAAAATACAGAGTATTTGATTACATACTTTCCCTCGTTATTGCTACTAATAATTTAAGTAATTATGATATAAGGTCAAATTAAAAGAGCTCCTCAAATATTGGCTAACTCCGACACATGCGTTAGCCGCCCTAAAGAAATAAAGTGTAGCAAAATAAATGTCTTAGCTTAGTTTATGTATTCCGTTGTAACATCATACAAACAACTTAGCACCTTCAAAAAAAAAACTTAGAATAATTAGAATTAGATGTCAATTAAAGTTAAGCAAGCACTTTTTATTAATGTGTAAAATAAACATCAGGTCACATCTAATCTATCAAAACCTCATAATAATACAATGTATCCACTTCAGCATCCATTACAAATTCACATAACGTGATGAAGTCAAAAATATGAGACTACGTATCTTTCTTTGTGTTAAAAGTTCTAATAATAATTATGAGTTTAAAATATGTTTTGGACCATTTTGATTGTTGAGGAGAATAAAAGAGAATCATAAAATATTTGATAGAGTTCTTGCCACAAATATCCAAATGTGTCACATTCAACATATTGATTAACTTCTTGTCGTTTTAACTTAATTGTGCTTATTCAATTAACTTAAAAATGTGATTATTAACAAATCAATGTCGTGACTGAGATGTTTTACGATAGCCCATTCCAAAACTTCATTAAATAGCCGCCTCCCTTCTTCTCAATCTTTTCATCTCTCAAATCCTAGCTAGCTTCTATAATCAGTGAAATAAACTAGATATAAAAGGGGCTCATTATTTTTCCTGGGGGTGCGTGCTAATCAAGTTGAACAGTTTACGAGCAACTTGAACTTAATTCGTCTAAAACCCGACTCGAGTTAGATCGACTCAAGACGTTAACGAACACAAGTTGAACAAGCTCTGACTCGACTCGATGAACTCGTGATGAGCAACTCAATAATAAATTTTTTTATAATTAATATATAATTTAAAAACAAATTAAAGTTACCATAATTTAAAATTTTCAATGCTTAATAAGTGTTAATTAATATTATATAAAAATAAAAGAGTAAATTTCAAATAATAAATAAATAAAAGTGAAAACTTAATTATATAAAGCATGTAATAATTCTTCAAAAAATTAAAAAAATTAAATAAATAAAAAGTAAGAAAAAATTGCATGTAATTTTTAAGAAGCACCAAATTAAAACTTTTATGAGCAGATCATAAGCTACTCAATTCGACTCAAACCTTTAACGAGCACTTGTCAAGCAATGACAAAAAACTCTTTAATCTTTATAATTTTGTGTTTTTTTCTTTAATTTTTTGTTTTTTAGTTTAAATGATTCTTAGGGTATGTTCACTTCAGCTTAATTTCAGTTCAGTTCAGCTCCAATCAGTTTAGTTTAGTTCAGTTCAGCTCCAATCAGTTTAGTTCAGTTTAGCTCCTAATTTCCTTCTTTCATCATAAAATACTCATTTCAGCTCACTTTAGTTCAATTCAGTTCAGCTCCAATTAGTTTTGTTCAGTTCAGTTCAACTCTAATCAGTTCAGTTCATTTTAGTTCAGCTCAACTCAATTCAGTAAATGTGAACAAACCCTTAATTTCTCTTTTTGTGAGGGCATTTTCACCCTTAAAAGAAATAAAAAAATTTCCTCTCATTGCTAGAGATTCTTTTTTTTTTAACCCAAAATAGAAATATTTGCTAGAGACTTTCTTTTCAAGAATTTCATATCTTTTATAGGATGTCATTCATGAGAGGGGATCGATATTCAAAAGGGTTTAGGGTTTTTCACTTTTTCATCGATTTTCAATTCGATCAAACAATTGTAATATGATGAAATTAGAATCTTATAGCTTTTACTTGGAATAGCTTTTACTTGGAAAAATTCAAAAACATTGGAAAACAAACACTACTCGCGTTATGACAAGCTATGGGGATGAAGCTTAATAATATCCCTTTTTCCGTCACAAATAATGCTGGTTTATGATAGAAATTTCTTAGACAGTTACTTTTATCCTTAGCAATCTAGTTACTTATTCCTAGTAATGGTACGTGGTACTAGTATATCATAAATTAAAAAGACAAGCCAAGGTATCACATGTCACTCTTCATTTGAGTGTTGTGTTTTTACTAAGTAATTAAAATCCAATATAGTTTTTTTTTTAAAAAAAACATATATAATATTTGTTAAGTATTTGAATACCCAACGGATTTCAAGTCCAAAAAATTAAGAGCCCAAATTGATCAATTTTATCACCCAATATTAAATTCAATAGATTTAATTCCGGTTCCAAAGCCATCAATTACTAATACTTTTGCATAATTGGTTATCCAAAAGGCCAAAATTTTATTGATCAACCCTTATACCAACACATATCACAATACAATAGTAGAGCTCTCAACGAACCAATCCAAAATCTTTATACTCTACACTAATAAATTCAAAAAGGTTTGTAAAATATTAGACCCACATCATGGATAGTAGTCCTCCAACCCTACCCCCTCTTTCCCCACCACTTCAATTTTGTAATTTTTTGGTCACTTAGGATTCATTGGGAAAGTTGAATAAAAGTCACACAATTTGACAAACAAATAATCTAAGCTTTTTGTAGTAAAAGAAAGCCATTGGTTTTTACACATAGCATCTACCCAAAGATTTTCTTAAAGACAAAAGGAATTATTTATATCATTCTTTTAACTAATAACCATATCTTTTGCCCCTCAATCATCTCAATAAAGTCTTCCATTGCCATTATTCAATGGACCTAAGTTATTTTCAAGCCAAATGATGAAAGATTTGAACTTTACTCTCTTTTTATCTATATTATATTTAATTTTTAATTTTTGGGTGTGTGTGAAAGATTGAAAATGAGGATAATGTATTAAATAGGGCTCTTACCTTATATTATCTCTACAATACAAAGATAGCTAAACAAGAGAAAAAACCTCTTTATAAAAGCTCCCTTAAAATTTATTTTCCTCAAAGGTTTTAAATAAAGTATTGCATGTAAACCATATTCCTAGACAAGCAAAGAGTAAGTATAATCTTCAACAATGGATTCATGGAAGAGTAATCTCACTTCTTTCGCGCTCATGGTGCTCATTCATCTTCCATTGGCTTGTTGTTCATCCCTGAAAGAAGCAATGCCCGTTTCCAGTCACTTGGAAGATAATAGTCATAATGTAAGTTTTTTTTTAGTTAACCTTTTTCTTATTAGTCCACTAATATGTTTTAAGGGTTTTATTAAACCTAATATTCAATTTTATTCATTAATAAAAAAAAAAGTGTAATTAATAAGCAAATTCATCCAACTTATTTTACTTCATTCAAACTATTTCAAAATAATGAAAATAATATACTACGATATGTATGTATGAAAAACCACAGTTCTATCATTAAGCTAGTATTTTTGTATAAATCCATCTTGGTGATTTATTTATTTATTTGTTTATCCTATCATTTATTGACCTCAAATTTGTATTGACAAATTAAGGATTTTTATAAACCTTTATTTATAATGTTTTAGTGCATTTTAATTTTAGGAAAATGCTATACATAGCCCTTAGGGCTACATATAAGCATTAAAAATACTCTTGAAAACTGTTTAAATTTAGAAAAACATGACAAATTCACACTAATTACAGTGATCTACGCGTGTTTTTGTCATGCATTCCTAATTTTATACAATTTTCAAGAGTGTTTTTAATGCTTATGTATAGCCCTAAGGGCTATGTATAGCATTACCCTTAATTTTATACTACCTCCCTCCTCATTTTATGTTTAAACGTCTTCCTCTATCTTGCTTATGATTTAATAAGTGCTTAATTATTTAATTTATATCAACAATATGTTTAATAAATTTGCAGCAATTACTAAGCCCCAAGATGACATTTGAAGTAACACTTCATGGACTTCTTTTATGGGCATCCTTAGGATTTCTTATGCCTCTTGGGATATTAATTATCAGACTGTCCAATAGAGAAGAAAGTGGAACAAGACTCAAACTTTATTTTTACTTCCATCTCACTGTACAGGTATGTAATATAATTTCCTTCTCAATTATAATTTTTTCGTTATATAGTGCAATTGTTGTAAATTATTTAACGTGGTTAAATTGATAGATTCGAACCCGTGACCTCTATGTCACGTTGGTTTCGATACCATGTTAGATGACCAACTCAACCAAAAGATTAAGCTAATGGTTGAGGCCCAAGAATATGTTTTATACTCTATCATAAACAACTTAAACGAATCAGTTCTCAACCAATCAAAATTTGCTAAAAAGTCATTTTTTTTTTCTTTCACAATTTCATAAATACACTCTTAGGCTCCTAGCTTCATTTTTGTATGTATTGAACACTATGATAAGGCTGTACTAATGATGTGGTACAAAAATTCTACTATAGTTATAATATGCTCTTTTGTTATGATTTATATTTTTCAATTCGTTCTTTTGTAATCAATGTGTGAAAATCTACACTTTTTATACACACTTAGTTAACTATCTTTTGTGATTTATAAGTTACTCTGTATTAGTTATATGAGATTTTTTAAGATTCGTCTTGATATATGCTTTAATTTCAAAATATTTCTTTATACTAGATATATTCATGATAGGTATAAAATGTTCACTAATTCTAAACGTAGTAAATCAACCGATGAAAGTGCATATAAATTGTGAAGATTAAAAGGAGTGAATTGAACATGGATGTAGGGATCCGTAAAGCTTATAAAATAGAGTACTTCCGACATATATAGTAGCTTTTCTTTTGCTATCACTATGTGTTGTTAGTTACGGATTACTCCCTCCGTCCCAAAAAGAACGACCCATTTGGATTGATTACGCGGGTATTAACAAAGTTAAGTAGAAAGAAGTAAAAGTATATTGGAAAGATAAATTTACATGGGGTTTGTAAAAAAATAGAGAGAGAGTAATAAAATAACATGAAAAATAAAATTTTTATATGGGAAGCTAATTTTGCACAAATATTGTTGTAAATTGGTGGTGTTTTAATGCAAATGAGTCATTCTTTTTGGGACAAAGTTTTGACCAAATGGGTCGTTCTTTTTGGGACGGGGGGAGTATTATATAAAAGAAATTTTTTTTTTTTTTTGAACGGTTATATAAAAAAGAAACTTTATGTAATGTGAAAGTCATCATTACATACACCAACCTCCACAATTATGCAACTTTAGATATGAAGTACTCGAACATATAATTAACCTTATGGTGTGATTAGTAGCTAGCTAGGTAATCAGTTAACCCAAGTAACTAAATATATCACCAATCAAATCAATGTCAAATCATAGTGATTATTCTCGTAATTATTCTAAAAAGATAGAATCGTCTTCTAATGGTATACTCCCTCTGTCCCTAATTGTTTGCTCCACTTTCCTTTTTTAGGTGTCCCCTAAAAATTGCCCCATACTACTTTTGGCATGTTTTCCCACTTGCACTCTCTCTATCTCTCTCCTCATTGATATTTGTGTCAATCCATGTGCACTATATTTTGCCCAAAGTCTTAATAAAGTGGATTTATGGTTTGGGGCAAACAATTGAGGACAGAGGGAGTATTAATTTATCTCTAGAAGTTGATTATTGACATCTCTATATATTAGCTTTAAAGTAGTAAAAAAATTTTGGACTAGATTTTCACTTAGACATTTAGACTTTGTTGCATTCACTTAGAAAGTATATTGGACATTCAAACCTTTTTGACTTCACCTTAAAAAGAATAATTAGAAAAATTTATTTTAGTTTAGTAAAAAAAAATTAGTTCAGTTTAGTTAAAAATTAGTTCAATTTAGTTAAAATAATTGCAGTTCAGTAAAAATCAATAACTTTAAAGAATAAATATAACAGAAAATTAATAAAAATAATTTCAATTCAGTAAAAATAATTTCAGTTAAGTCAAAATAATTTTAATTCAGCAAAAATAAGGTGAAGTAAACGAGTCTTAGACTACTCTTTCAATTTTGAAATAATTGTGGCATTTTACTTGGTAAATACTAGTACTTATTATTATTATTGTTATTGTTATTGTTATTGTTATTGTTATTATTATTATTATTATTATTATTTTTTAAGGGAAGGTGAATACTAGTACTTGTCATTACTTCAGACTAAACAAAAATTAATACTAAGCCAAAAAGGATTTGACACATTTTGTTTGAAGAAACTCGTATTACTATCATACTAGATTTTTGGTTTGTTGGATATAGTACCTTATATGTAAGATAATTTATAGGTCAAAGTGATGTGAGAACTTTAATTGCGTAGTATTAGATTTATCATAATATGTATTTTTAAAATATCAGTTTTTATGTAATTTTTACACAAATACATAATTATAGATATTACAGGTGCATTGTAAAATATTACATTAGCAAGCATAAAATAGTACTCGTAGAATGTAAACATCATTATTATGATACAGAGGTTGAAAGTGAGAATTAACTAACAAAACCTCAACAGTTATTAGTATTCTTGTTGTCTTTTGTCTCCATATAACCCCTACAGAAATTATAGCTTTTTTTTCTACTGCGATGTATAAATGAATATGTCTAGTACCTGGTCCAACATATATAGAGTTCAAATGATAGCATAAACTCTAAACAATATGGAGTATATGATTTTGTGATGTACGTTGTATAGTTTAACATTGTAAATTGTAATGGTTTATACAAAGTAATGCAATTAATCATACTATATAGTGTTTAACATTAATAATCAATACTTAGCTATAAAGGCAAAACGATGACAATATCATTTTAAGACTTGCATATGTTAATTGTTAATTGATACTCTCAATAATCGAGCATGGAATCATGGATTGTTACTTAATGGATACGTTTTAGTGAATGCAATTCATAGAATCCAATTCACAATTATCTTTCATTTTTTTTCTGTTTATTTAATGGTCAATTTAAACTTAACATTATATTTACACAATCAAGTAATCACCTTTAATCTTCCCCAAAAAAAAAAAAAAAAAAAACATCTTTAATCTTTTCATTGCTTTTTTGGTGTGTCAAACACAGACCAAGTAATTCTTGACCAAATGAGTAACAGCTGATCAATCGAGTAATTTCTTACCAAATAATCCCAGTCACACCATGTGGTCTGCCACATATAAAGTTTGAACATAAACCATTATTAATGATATATACTTTCGATACTAAATAGTCAAAGTTATATATTGGCAAACATAAATATATTAATAACAAATACCCATAGCATTTTCCATTGGCATTATATACTACCTTTGTTTCTTTTTTAGTTGACACATATTCCTTTTTAGGAAGTTTTTTTTTTTTGTTGACACGTTTCCTTTTGGGGTAATTTTTTTACCTTGCATTTACAAGATACCCCACTTGCTTTTTCATTCTCTCTCACTTTCTCTCCTCTCCTTAATATATGTGCCTAAATCAAACGCGTCAACTAAATAAAAACGGAGGAAGTATTAATTTGGATTACATAAAATTCTCCTTTTATCTAAATTATGTACTTATATGCTTATATTCTTAAGAGGGATACCTAGTCAATTCCCCATATTTGTTTATCTGGGGGTATAATTGTCTTTTCAAGTACCAGTGGAGGGGTATATGCGTCTTTTCATGTACTAGTTGAGGGGTACATGTGTAATTTCCTCACCAAACAGTAAAAGCAAAAAGCAAACAGTAATAGGACAGCTCACCAAAAGTACTGAATAAATAACCTTGTTTTTTCAATATATTTACAAAAATACCATCAGATTAACAGAATTTCGTTTATCTGGCAGATTAACTTGTATTTTTCCTATTCTTAACAGATACTCTCATTGTCCATTGCCACTGCTGGAGCTATTAAGTCGATCAAAACCTTTGAGAATTCTTTCAATAACAGCCATCAGAGAATTGGTCTAGCACTTTATATCGCTATTTGGGTTCAAGCCGCGATTGGATTTTGTAGACCGCATAGGTAATTGACTAATATTGGGCGCATAAGCGATATATGTTATTCAAATTATACGCCTCAAGTGCTTTTACATGCATATATAGCTCACAATTTATGTCATTTAAACTTAGTTTTTATTACCATATTTCAATTTTAACGAATAAAAATCATCTTCATCGACTTGGTAAATTGGTTAATCAGCAAAATAATCTAAGTTAGTTTTTTCTTTTTATTTGATGATTAAATGAAAACAATCATTAAAAAGAGAAGAAATTACTCATGGTTGTACGGTGCAGCCGGATGTATATAACAATCCCTCGTAGGGTCATTATCTTTTTCTTTAATTAAAAAGAATTTTAATAGCTGAATATTACAAATGCGCATATACCAATCAAATTAATAATTTCACTTAATTATATTATTATTTTTGCAGAGGAACCAAAAAAAGGAGTTTGTGGTACTTCTTTCATTGGATATTTGGCACAATTACTTGCATAGTGGGAATTCTCAACATTTACACAGGCTTAGAAGCTTACAAGAAACGAACCAAAAGAAGTGTGACTCTTTGGACATTTTTATTCACAATTGAAATTTCTTCAATGGCTTTCTTCTATCTTTTCCAAGACAAATGGGATTACATGCAAAAACAAAGTGTTTCTTTAAGAGAAGGAGGACAAGTAAGACCTTCAGATGATCAAGAGAGCTCTATAAGGGATGATAATGATAATAAAAATTTGTGGAGGGAGCCCTGCTCAAAAGTTAATGCACTCAAAAATTTGTTCAACTAGAATGACATAAAATTATATATATATTTTTTCTTACTAACAATTGTTTTATGATTTTCTCTCTTTATAAGTTGCTATTTTTATTTACAATTTTGGATGGTTGCAAATTTGCAATGCTATGAAAAGTTTTTTTTTTTTTTTGGCAAAAGATTGTGATGGTTGTATTTGTAAATATGATTTCAGTTTTATAATTCAATCAATTTATCAGTTTTACATTTAAATTTCAAGTATCTATATTCTATACTAAAATAATCACCAAAATTATCCCAAGATTATATGTGTCAACTCCTCATAAAATATTTTCCCGCCGAAAAACTTAGGAGTTTTTTTGTGTTTTTTGTTGTGCTTTTTTTTTTGGTAATTTTATTGTATTTTTAAAAAACTTGAAGTTTTTCTTATATATTTACTCCGTATTATTTAAGATCCCATATTCAATTTTGACCGAATAATAGACGAAAGATGTGTTAATTTTGATACTAATTAAATCATCATACATCTTAAAAAAAAATCATCAAACAAAATTTATTTTCTATATTATGCATAAAGAAAATTTAACCATATATTACATGAAGAATCCGAGCATGGCTCGGGCATTAACTAGTTCATAAATAACATAATACTAAAAGCGAATATGATATGACACTTGTCATGCTTTGATTAAAAAATTTCACGCCACTTTCACTTTTCCTTTTTTTTCTTCAAATCTTCATGCATATTAATTGTTATTGGTATATCCTATAATATCTTACTTTTAATTTCATAACTATATTCTACGTATATTATATATATATGGTTGGTTCAAAATAAGTCAACCTTTTAACTAAAAATAAGTTAACGTTTTAGTTGTATTTTTTTAAAATAAGTCAAATGACTTATCACCTATCAAACAAGTCATGTTCTTTCATTTTTTTTAATTAATAAAGGGGGTTGTTAAATATCGCCCTCGATTTTCTAACTAACGCCCGCAAAATAAAATTAAATTACGTAATTAATCTTATAATAACGATTATAAAAATAATTAATTTTACCTCAATTTCACACTTTAACTGTACACAAAACTTTTTACCGTTCTCTCTAGTGGTCAACGGCCACCGACGTTCATTGGACAACCACCCCAACCACCGTGAAATCAAACAAATTTTTTAAATTTTGCAAAATCAAATTCGTTAGATCTTATGGACAACGAGGAAATACCAGAAACTTTTTAAGAAATTGGAGAAACTAAGCAAATCAAAAAATTTGGATAGATCTAACTTTAAATTGAAGAAACTAAGCAAATCACCGTGATATCAAACAAATTTTTTAAATTTTGCAAAATCAAATTCATTAGATCTAACTTTAAGAAATTGGAGAAACTAAGCAAATCACAAAATTTGGATAGAAAAGTTGTAATACCTCAGAAATTCCCTTATTTTAAATTACTATTTTTATTTAAATTAAAACTATTTTAAGGAAATAACCAAAATATTACCGCCACCGTGATAACGGCTAAGGCTATTTTTCAAAGTTACATAGCGGAAGTCTAAATTAAAGACCAACTTTTTAACATAAAACTTGAGTTCACAATCTCAAAACAAAATAAAATAATTAAATCGATCACAAGTTGAAACCATTCCAAGCATGACCCTTTCAAAAATCCAACTTTAAATAATACATAAAGGTTAGTCCATAATAAAATAATTCAAAACATAAAATTAGGAAAGCATAACAAGTAACACTCAACACTCATTCCCACTATACTCTTCATGCTTCAAGTACCTGTCACTTCCCCTTTATTTCAACTCTCTACTCACCATATAAATGGGTCATAGTAGGGCAAATTAAAGGAAAGCCAAACACAAACACAAAAGTACAAATCAGCAAAAGCTGAGTACATATGCACCACACTAACATGAATATCCTATTAATAAGAATAGCAATAAAACATGCTTGCTATACAATCAAATTCAACTTACCTTAGACTCATAACTAACAATATTAATCATTAATTAATATCTTTGGATTACGCATCGAACGAGTTTCCTTCCTTAAAAATATAACCCATTAAAAATTAAATCGTTAATATATGCTCATTTTATGTATTTAATGTATTAAATACATAAAATGAGCATATATTTTATAGAAATTGTATTAAATGTTCATTTTTAGTGCATTAAATGTTTTTTTTTTTGTACTAAATATTCAGTTTTAAAGTACTATGTGCTCATTTATTTTATAGAAATTGTATACTTCGATTGTAATTACTTTAACTCTAACATTTTTGATATCCACCTGAAATATTATCTCAATTCGTCATGAAGACAATAATTGTCGTTCTATAACATGATAATTATTTAGGAATTATAAATGCAAAATTTATAGAAAACAACAAATATAACATTCTTATATTTATAAGCAACAAAAATAGTCTAAGGAAGGAGAGGTAATAATTTGAAAGAAAATTAACTTATATGGAAAGGAACAAAGAGGAGAGAGAAAATTTTGAAATGAGAGATAACAGAGGAGAGAAAATATTAATAGATGTAAGAAAGAAGAAGAGAGGAGTTAAGATATGAGGAAAAGAAAAAAAATGATCTTCAGCTTAAATTATTGCATGTTCATATTTATGACTTAGCTGCACCAGTATGTAGCTAAGAATTTGCGTCTATTACGCCCTCTCATACGAGAGTCCGATGGGCTTGAAGTGTGGATGGAGCATGAGTGCTCCTCATACCTAGCGCTTAATATATATTCCACTTTGAAAGGAGGGGTGGTAAAATATAAAACATAACTTTAAGTCTTAACCATCAGCTTGTTGAAGCCAAGATCAGTTTATTACATACTCTATCACTATATATTTGGCATTGGCTTACTATCTGCTTCCTCATATGTAAAACAAGTATCCTTCTATTTTGTTTCAGTTGTTGTACTACTATAAGTTCCATGTTGTGCATGATTTTTACAAGATTTAATTACGAATTACAACATTTAGTTATTAATACAATAATTAATTTTAAAAATGAATTATATTACTGAACATAAAAAAATAACTTCATTAGATAAAATACATTATATCAATAAAAATCAAGGTCAATACTCGTGCGATGCACTTTTAGTCCCACACCTTGATAGACACATGAGTAATTTAGTTGATTATTTGTTTCATTTTTAGTGAATGGTGGAGAATTTAATTTTTGTTTTATTAGTACTATTGTTATGATTATAGTCAATGGTATCTTTATCTAATATTCCTATAATATTAATAAAAAAAATACATATTTATGCAAAATATATAATTTGGTTAATTTTTTAGGATTGCATATTTGTAATTATATTTACAAAATGAGATGCAATGTTAATAAAAGTATAGATTCTGACAACTTTATTTATTTTACGTGTATTCTTGAAAATAAAATACAAAGTACAACATATGCATATAATTAGACAAAAAAGAATAATTTAAAGTCTTATAGAAAAATACTACTTTAATACCCAATAAAAATGGTAAGAAACTAAGAAAGATATGAAAATATATATTGGTATAATATATATGGAAGAAATTTGATGTCAAGTGTAAAAGTTAATATTTGGCAAAAAAAAAGAAGAAAAAAAAAGGCGGAAAAACTTTTAATTAGACGATGACATGTGTCATCTTAGAGTTCGTCTTAATTATTAAATTTCAATGCGTATTGTAATTACAATATTTCTAAGTGCGACTAAATAAATTTAATAGTACCATCCTTTTTTGTTGTCACTAGCCTTTATTTCAATTTCATGACCTATTCTCATTAAATGTAGTTTTTCTAAAAAATAAAGAATTTTGACAATTGAATAGTAGGGAATTTCTTCGCACAATGAGTCATCTATTTCCAAGACACCTCAAACATATATCACACAAGGGAATAATGTTTTTGTGCATAACCTAGGTCTGGTCAATGAATATATCCTTCTCATCTAAATCATGTCCATTACTCTTAAACCAACATTACTCCAATATCATTATTTATATTATTACTAGTTCAATCCCATTTGCATGTACCCGGCGTACAGTATTTTTACTGTACATCGGGTTTTTCGCACGTGCAACCCATTTACTGTTTTTTTTTAAATCGCGGAATTTCATACCTAAAAATCAAAAAAAAGCAGAACAACAATGGAGGAGAGAGAAAGTGAGAAAACGCAGCTATCGATCATCCATTGAGGAGAGAGAAAGTGAGAAATCGCAAAAATTGCAGAAAACGATCATCAATCGAGGAGAAAAAAGGTTAGAAAACGCAAAAATTGCAGAAATCGATCATCAATCGAGGAGAAAAAAGGTGAGAAAACGCACAAATAGAAGAATTCGATCATCAATTAAGGACAAAGAAAGTGAGAAAACTTACAAATTGCAGAAATCGATCATCAATGGATAATTCGACTTTCGATACAACAAATTGCAGCAATCTCATTCACGAATTGCTACAAAAACAGAGGCAAATTGAGACTGAATTTGAAATCGATTTAAATCGATCGATTATAGAAGAAGAAGAAACTAATTGTTTTGGAGATGAATTCGTACCAATATTCAACAATCCAGACAATGCAAATGAAGCAATCGATAATGCAGATGAAGCAATTGAGAATGCAGAAGACGCAATTCACAATGCAGAAAATCAAGTGATTCCTGATAAATCAATTGATTCAAATTCAGAACAAACAACCAAATCAAATGCAACTGAAGGTAATTTCTATAAATTTTTGAGATTGTATGCAAAAAGTAACCCATTAAATACATAATTGTTACACTTTTCATGCATAAACGTGACTGTACTTATGCCTAAATGTTACCCTCAGATTGAATGCAGAACTTTTTAGATTGCATGCAAAAAGTAACCCTTTGAATGCCTAAATGTTACCCTTTTCATGCTTAAAGTGACCCTATTTATGCACAAATGTTACACTCAGATTGTATGCTGAAAATTCAGATTGTATGCAGAAAGTAACCCTTTGAATGCCTAAATGTTACCTTTTTCAATGCATAAAAGTTACCCTATTTTCAAACGAATGTTACTCTTTTTTTATGCTGCATGTGGTTATTATCTGATTTGTTTGTATTAAATAACAGATACAAATCCAATTGATGCTTCTGGTTTAGATCTTAGAGGATCATTTGTTGGTGTGGTAAGAGAAACTTTTGAAGAAATTTTGGAATTGTATGAAAAACATGCTGCTATACTGGGGTTTTCAATAAGAAAACATACAACTAGATTCAAACAACACACAAAAATAGTAACTGAGAAAAACTATGTGTGTTCTGCTGAGGGAAAGAGACATTCAGGTCAGAAGAAAACAAAGTTAGTTGAAATGGTTGATGAAGAGGATGTAAATGTAAAAACAAGAAATCCAAGACAAGTATCCATTACAAGATCGAATTGCAAGGCATGCATAAGAGCAAAAGTGAATAAAGAAGGACAGTTTGAGGTGGTGGCTCATGTTATTCAGCATAACCACGAGCTAAAAAAAGCCACAGTGGCATTATTTGCATCGTTCTGAAAGAAAAATGACAGAGGAAAAAGCTGAAGCAATCAAAACAATGAAATCTTCAGGTCTAACTACAATGGACACTTACAATTACATGGCTACAGAGGCTGGAGGAGAACAGAATGTAGGCCATAGTGTTGTAGATCACCTGAATTTCTGCTCAAGGTTAAGAATGGAACAAATTGAGGCTGGAGATGCTCAAACTTTAGTGAATATTTTAAGTCAGGAACAATCAGAGGATCCAAACTTCTTTTTTAGAGTGAAGTTTGACAAAGAAGGAAGAATTTGCAATATCTTTTGGAGAGATTCAATGATGCTAGAAGACTATAGGATATATGGAGATGTTCTTGTCTTTGATACAACATACAGAACCAACAGATATAATCTTATATGTGCTCCATTTGTTGGCATAAATAACCACTGGCATAATTGTATGTTTGCTTGTGCTTTTATTGGGGATGAAACGACAGATTCATTTGTGTGGTTACTACAAACCTTCTTCAAAGCTATGGAGGATAGAAAACCAACTTCAATATTCACTGACCAGGACCAAGCAATGGCAAATGCAATTTTGAAGGTAAAAGATTTATATTGACATCTTACAGATTTGAGCTCTGACAATAAAGTTTTCCTTTTTCACATAAAGTTACCCTTTTAGCTGCATAACGTTACCCTTTTTAGTGCATAAAGTAACCCTTTTAACAGCATAAAGTGACCCCTTTATTTTCAATGCAGGTGATTCCTAATACAAGGCATAGACTTTGTATATGGCATTTGGAGCAAAATGCCATAACCAGATTTGGAGCTCTTAAAAAAGACAAAGAATTCAAATTTGCATTCAACCAGTGCTTAAAGATGTGTGTGACAGAACAAGAATTCGAAGCAAAGTGGCAGGCAATGTTGCAGAAATATGAGTTGACAGAACACTCTTGGTACAAAAGAGTGTATGAGTTGAAAGACAAATGGTGTCCTGATCTTAGTAGAGATTTCTTTTCAGCAGGGATCTTATCGTCACAAAGGAGTGAAAGCACTAATCATGCTATAGGATTCAGAGCAAGTAAAGCAACTACTTTGACAGAATTTTATACCATATTTAAGAAGACAACCAATCGTTGGAGAAGCACAGAGAAATATGATGAGTTTACCTGTAGCAAGTCAATAGCATTCACTTCATTGCCTCTATCTGGAATGCTAAAGTATGCTGCACAGGTAAAAAGTTAACTGACAAGTACATAAATTACACCTAATATATGGCAATTTAAATGAAGCTACATGATTTTGATGTACAGGTTTTCACTTTATGACTCTTTAGAGATTTTGAAGAGGAGTTTGGATACTCTATGGCAACAAATGTTCAGATGTTAGGCAGTAATGAAGAATGCCTACTTTATCAAGTAACACTAGAAGACAAGCCATGGTCTGCACATCAAGTAAACTATATACATGAGAGCCAGACTGTATGGTGTACTTGCAAAAATTTTGAAGCATCTGGATGGTTATGTTATCATTGCATCAGAATTCTACATTTGCATTCAATAACAAGAATACCAGACAAGTATGTTTCAAAAAGATGGACTAAGTTTGAAAAAACAGAGGCATGGGATAGGTTGAAGAATCAGGATCCTAAACAGCAATATATTCCATGGAGGCAAACAATGATGAGGAAATACTACAATCTAATCTTAAAAAGTTAAGAAAATGAAGAGACAAGAGCATTTATGGAAGAAAGCTTCAGAAACAGTCTTAAAATGGTGGAAGACTTACTTACTAGTGCTGCTCAGAAAGAAAGTGCAGAAGCTGCTTCTAACATTCCTGATGTGGCAGACAACACTCAAAGCAATACTGACGTTTCTTCAGCATTGAGTACAAGCACAAGTGTACCAATAATACTTGATCCTAAAAGGGCTGTAACAAAAGGAAGAAGCAAGAGAGCAAAAGGAGGACTTGAAAAAAGCAAGAGAAAAGAAAACCAGCACTACCACCTCCAAATTCAGAATTTGGATCAAAGACACCTAACTTACGACTCTTTTAAGATCTTTTTTAGAACATTTTTTTTTTCGAAATTAATATACCTTGTATTGTTAAACTATTTTTCTTTTGTTTTTTTTACTCTATGACTAGTTTAATGAAAATGTGATTGACACTTTTATTAGCACATGTTTAATTATTGGAACACATCAACTTATGTTACCCTTTTAACGTATAAAAGTAACCCTTTTCATGCATAAAAGTTATCCTTTCTATCCACTAAATCAACCTTTTCTTTGGTAATAATGACCCTTTCTGTTAATAAAAGTTACCCCTTTTATCAATAAAAGTTACCCTTTTCATGCATAAAAGTTACCCTATCTACCCACAAAAGTATACCTTATCATGTATAAACTTATTATTTCTACCCACAAAAGTAACCCTTTTTATGCTACAAAGTAAACCTTTTTATGCATAAAAGTGATCCTTTTCATGCATAAAAGTTATCCTTTCTATCCACTAAATCAACCTTTTCTTTGGTAATAGTTACCCTTTCGGTTAATAAAAGTTACCCCTTTTATCAATAAAAGTTACCCTTTTCATGCATAAAAGGTACCCTATCTACCCACAAAAGTATACCTTATCATGTATAAACTTATTATTTCTACCCACAAAAGTAACCCTTTTTATGCTACAAAGTAACCCTTTTTATGCACAAAAGTGACCCCATAAAAAAACATACATAAGAACCTTTCAAATTACTTAATGTATGCACATACATCAGTATTCCAAAAGAACCAAAAACTATCCACTAAGTTTAATTACATCATTTAACTTGATTTATATGCACATACATTAAGTTTTTTCATTGTTTAAAAAATACTCCTAGACCTAATCAACTAATAACTAACAGTCATTTCACCCTTTAGAAGGAGTGTACTTGTTTGTCTTCTTTTTTTCCCTTTTTCCTTTGGGATTCTCTTCTTCTGCCTCTGCCTTTGCTTCTGCTTCAGCTGTCATTTTTCTTTCTTCATTTTCTTTCTTCTTCTTTGCAGCAATTGCATCCTTTCTTCTCATTTCAATTCCCTGGCAATAAGCAGGATCTTTCTTCTTCTCATTGAACTTCTCTAATTCTGACAACACATCATTCCTAGATTCATTCAAATCACACAGCACCAGTGTGGTACAGATCTCACCTCGCAGAAATTTTCTCCCAATAATCTCACAACAGAAAAAAAATTATCAATATGTAATTAATAAAAGCATTAGAAAGGGAAAAACTACATACAAAATAGATGAATAATTACTGTTTCCAGTTCATTTAATTTGAACGATTCGCCAACAAAATGGAGCATGTGATACATGACAAACACCCCACAGTCCAAATTGTCAACCTTTTCTTTTCTCCATTCCAACTCAACAATTTGAAACCCATAAGAAGGTAGCTGAGAACTCTTTGGATGATTTCTTTTTCCGAGAAAAACACCCATTTGATCACACTGACATAAAATATAAAAGTTTAGAATAAAATAAAAACAAAAAAAAATTTAAATGGAAACAATAAGTAAACAGACACATAACAATGAATCAACATAAACATACCAAGTGTGAAGACAATTCTTTGGTATATTCAAGAGCATCATCACGCCAGATAATATTGTCAAGATAATATACCACCTCTTTTGTAGATCAATAATAAACAAAATGTAGTGATACTCAACAAGAACAGGAAAATAGATCTGAAACAGAAAAATTAAAACACTGATTTAGACAGAGTAACACAAAAACAGAACTTTTTTAAAGTTTTGATAGTAATTTAGCATGAAATATACCAGTTCAGCATCCATAATATCACATTCAAGATTCTCATAGCTCACCCAACCTTCCCATAAATCGTGCAAATCATTAACAGCTTGTGAAATATCACCTTTGCCAATGTTTTCACAAACATGTAAGAATGCAAACTATTAAAAGTATGAGAACTTGTTTATATATTTATATAAAGTAAATGTGTTTAAATAAAAAAAAATCAAATTACTTACACTTTGCCTCACACCAAAGAAGAATTTTCGAGGACCAGAATCAAAACATGCCTTCTCATTCAAATACAGACAGTAGCAATCAATGATGCACCATCGAATTCTAAGTGGAGCTACCAGGGACACCATGTCTTCTCTTGGAATTAAAAAATTCATCCCAAAAGTAACAAGGTTCTCACTGCAACAATAAAAAAATAAGATAAGCATTAAAAAAATAAAGGAAAAAAAACATATAAAAATATAATTATCATAAAAAATGACACTTAACTTCCTCATCATTGAATCATCCTTCAGTAAACAATAATCAAGAATTTCCAAATGTAACTTAGGCAAATTCTTGAAAATCCGGGCATTAGCCCTCAAAAATAGTGTAAGAAAAGGCACATCCACACCTACTGGCCCACAGTCAAGTGAGCACAAAGATTTATTGCCTCTGATGATACTTCTAGAAGCATTTTCTACAGAAGGCCCAGCATTACCATTGACATCATCCTCAGACCTATTCATCACAACACTTTTTCCATTACCATTGACATAATCCTCAAACCTATTCAAATTTAAATTTTGTGCAGGTTCATCTCCAGGAACATCATTGTTATGACCTTCAGGTTCATAAAAATCACGAAGCAATTCATGAACAGACTTCATCTTATTACACTCCTCAATTAAACCATCTAAAAGCTTCAGGTAATGAGGATCAGAGAGTAGCTGTTGAGTTTGAGAAACTGCAACAGCATCATCAGAGGATAATGAAACAGTTCTGCGAGAAGAAATCATACCACTCAAGGCTTGAAAACCCTGTGACTGAACCAACAATAATACATCCATATTTCTTTTAACCAAAAGAAATGTTTCATGAACAGCCTGCAAACATATGAACTAATAAGAAACTATACAAATGTAACAAATAAAAATAAAAAACAAATGAAAATTCATGATATATGCATAAAGTTACCCTTTTAAATGCATAAGGTTACCCTTTATTATGCATAAAGTTACCCTTTT